TTTTCTACTGTGCCTTTGTCATGCATGTTTAGCTGCCTCACAGGGGTCAGTGACGCGATAAAATCTACTTGTGTTAGCAACATCAAATTATCAGTGCTCGGTAATCACTTGAAAAAAAAGCCAAAGTAAGCGATTTTGTGGAAATTCAATGTTCACTATTCCGACGTGAAGTAAATCGACACCATGTAGTTTCGCACCCTCTTAGTTTGTTAGTGTGGAGCTAACCAATGCACTGAATGCAAAACTCAAAGGCTTTAACTATTTTCCCCACATCTTGGCGCCTTCGTGCGCCTATGAAGTGCACAAATAAGTAGGTAAATAAGTAGTACACTTCATCCACCGTAGGTTTTTGTGCTCTTCGTTCTCTGACTGGCCTCTCTCATATGGTAATCCAGAGGACGCTTGCTCTAGTTGCTTAACCACAGTTGAACTGCTGGAACTTTGGAAATTTGTGCTAAATTTGGCAGCAAACTTGCGCAAAACATTGCCACATAATATTTTACATTACGGTGTGTTCCCTTGTGAAACTGCGGTATAGTTTTCTGACCGACAACTGAAGTAGCCAAGGGCACTACAATGTATTACTTTTCTTAGCCTCCTGTAGGATGAAAACAAGACAGGGCATCAGTTTCCACTTTATTTAATAGGCTTCGAAGGTTACCCTTCGTGATGTCGGAAAAGTAATTAAGTCGCTGGTCGGTGACTTCTACCATCCGCTATACCTAAGCAAAGAGTTTCAACAAAAGCTGGCTCCAGAAAAGTCCGATTTGGCAGGTGAGGAATTCAGACTTCCACATGATCATTCACTGTAAAAAGACAGGCACTTTTGTGTCAAATGCATTTTACAAACGGTAAAAAGCAGTTAAGGAATTTCAGGTGTTCTATCCTTTCCAGAGGTAGAAATTATAGGACTGTATAATCTGTTCAAATGTCAACCAAATTTACGTTAGCGCGCCTTATCATTCTCGTTTGACAAATGTGCGAACGAGCGTGGAACTCCAGCTTGTGTGGCTAACCACTGTTGTTATTGTTACTATTTAGAGGAGGGTAAGTGTGTCTTGTTGACTCTTGACTGATCAGCAGTGGCTGCTTTCATCGTGGACTTGTCTATCGCTTCAAACAAACCCAATTCAGCTTAACCTCTCCCCAAACATTGTCCTCCATCTCATGCATGAATCAAGCACGCAAAACGCAACATTCGAGTCGCAGTTTTTTGCCCAAACCGACATTGTAAAACGCCGTGGTGCGAGTTGTTGTTACCTTTGGCGAAAGGGGATGGTGGGCTTTGTTGACTAACATTAGCTTTCTGCAGTACTTAAATGCTTGCTCACTAATCTCTCTTGGTTATCCCATTTTTAGGCATCTGTAAGTCCGAGTTTTCATTTGGCTGTCTCTAAGCCCACATCTTACTCGGAGTCCATTTCTCGGTTGACTGTCCCATGCCTGCCAGACTTGACTTTTTCCACCTCGCATTCATTGTTCTGCTGTTTGTCCACTATTTACCACTAGACATTTTAAAGATTACAAACTACTATTCCCTCCTTTTTACATTGGCAAATCGCTCCAGTGGCAGCCAGTAAGTTCGGAAGTTTTGCTCCACTCTTGCTGATACCCTCGGCACTTCCCTGCTTCCTTTTTATTTTCTGGTTCGTGCTTTGATGCAATGAAGGATCAATCTGTCAATCCTTATCCCATCCACGGATGGATGCATCGAAAGTGGCCACTCGCCCTCACCACTTGCATTTTAATAGCACTTTGACGTAGATTTGAGTCTGTAAGACGTTATTTGTTCCATCTACGTTAATTATGTGCTTTTAACCAAATTTTCCTTGAGCCAAGCGGTTTACTTAATGAACCGTTCGCAACAGACTTGGCTCAAACGTCGTGTTAGGGCGCACGCTTTTTGACACGGAAATCGGAGCACCAATAGCGGAAGCCTGCCTTCTCTCAAAGGAAAAATGATCTTTCAACATGGCACACTCTATAAAGAATTGTCCTCTCCTTTATTTCTGATTTCCGTCACAAATAAAGGCATAGCAAGCCTATCGCTCTCCAAGAAGTCTTCAGACTTTCATGTGCCTCAGCGCCTAAGGCAGAGAAAGTAGAATTTTTGCTCATAAGGAGCGGTAGAGGCTAGTAGAAGTTGTATTTGACTTCATTGCCAGTTTGACGTGAGGCTCAAAGGGTGTCTGATGTGTCCGCTAGCAAATGACAAGTGGTGTTGCATGCAGTTGTGGGTAGATTATCAAGCATGTAAGGCATTCGTCTATTCATGAGCCTGACAGTAGTCCTCTTCGCGTTCTGTCTAGCGTGTTTTGCTACTCTGCCAATAGAGGTGGCCTTTCTTTTCATGACCATTTACAAGTCACGTCAGCTTAGCTTACCTTCGACCCAGCGGACAAAGGAAATCGAAGTGGCATGTACCAGGAGTCAATCAAAGCCATGTTTCACATTGCAAGAATTTTGCTTTACCTTTTAAAAGAATTTAAAAGTATATTTTAGCCTAAAAATCTTAATAATGTGTTCTTCAAAAAACACGCTGCATCGGAGCGAATTTTTCCGGTCAGGTGCGGCTCTGCTTAATGTTTCATCGCCAACCGGTTCTACAGGAACAGGGTTAAAGCGAAAATCGTTGCCGATTTAATGGTTGTTTATTTGACTGAAACTTCTTTATGCTTGGCTGTTTAATTACTGGTCTGCTTTACTATGAAAATCAGCCCTGCTGAAGAGTGATTTTACGAACACCTCGGAATTTGTACTTTCGGTGCTTCAATTTAATCTCGAATACAAGTGGAAATTGCAGTTCTCTGCTTATTTAGCGAACAAGGTTTTGCTGACAAGCAAGTCACCCATAGACAGCAGGAAAGGCACAGGGATTTGGAAAAGTTTAGAGTCCATTAGTTTTATTGCTATTTTAGTATGGATGGTTGAGATGGTATACCAACTTCGCCTTCCCATGGGAACATCGACAATTTCTTTCATTTTTGTGTGTGCTTCCATTCAACGAACCGTGAAATGACGAGCAACTGCGGACCTTTTACCTCCTTTAGAGAGCTATTATATGAAACTAAGGCTATAATGTGTTAATCATCATCTGCCTCCTAAACAAAACCAAGGGGATATTTATTAAAGTCCTAGTTGGCCAAAAATTACTCATCTTTCCATGCCTTGTACAGTGGGCATCATTCAGCATCTTGTGTGCTATCAATGCTGCGATCGCATGCGTTGGCTTACATAAAAGACTTTGCAAACCCCCTTTTACGCCTTGTTTCCTTCTGCCTTCTCCTCACGATTAATAGCAGTTCTCCCAAACAAGTTTTCCAAGGGTCCACCCAGAACCCACTTTAACAATCGGAACTCCGGCCGCAATGGTGGTGGTGGTGGTGATGGTGGCGTCGCAGATAGCAGTATCCAGGATGTGGATCCGCCTCACAAATTCAAGGCCATATCAATATGTCCAAATGTGCTGAATCTCCACGAGCCCGTCTCCTTCATTGATTTTTTCGATGAACGTAAGAGATGTGGAAAAAAAGCGCGCCTTTCCCGCCTGCATGTAAAGTAGATCTCTCTCAGCATGGAATCTGAATTTGCGATGCAGATACAACTCTAGCATGCGAAGCATGACAAGTTGTTCGGACCCAGGACAACTTCCTTCAATTCTGTCTTTCACGCCCTCTTCATAAAGCTGTTTTAATCGCCTTTTAGATCCCAAGGTTAAGTATAAAGCAGCGTCAGTTTTGAAGCACGAGAAGGACGATGCAGATAACAATCCCAATGCATCGTCTTCTCACCTCCTTTTCTCCTTCACAAAGGAGGAAGAGGTACAGAGGTCACCAAGCTTTGACACTGCTGACAGTGCCACACCCAGAGGCATGCAACGCAGTTCCACGAGAACTACCACTTTAAGCATGGAGCAGAAGTATATCGCGGGCGAGTCAATCCAAATGGTCAGTTCAGGAGAGGCGCATAGTTGGGCCGTTCGCCAACCCGATTCCATCCCCTCAGACGGAGAATACGAGGTGGAAGAAGAGGTGAAGGTTAAGCGAAGTCGATTTGCTGTAACGCACATGGCACTCGGTTAGTGGCTCCATTTATTTCAGGTGGCTATGGTTTAGTATCCTATTGCAATTATTCATTTTTTATTGGTATTGTAGCTTTGCAAGTAAAATAGACTAGAAGTGGAGTTTTCTCCGGTCCAGCCTCACATCTACACGCATGAATAATCTTTATCAGTCTGTTTGCTTCGGGATTTAGCTAGGCGAAAAGCACATCTCTCTGTGAGGTCTAGAAGAGAGGGCCGTGGCGTCATACGCATGCGACACGATCCACGAACGTGTTCCTTTGGCCAAACGGCGATAAATGCCTATTCCAAATTACTGGCGGCTAATCTACGACAAACACTGCAATAAAAGGAACCCTTGAACCATTACGATTGCCCATATAAACATTCCACTTGTCATATAAAGATAGCTGGAGCTTCTGTCCACAACCAGCGCGATGGAAATGGGCAGTCTTGAGTATCTTTAAGGATCGTCAATTCGGTGATCAGATCCAACATAGCAGTGTGGTGATTCATCCTTGATGCGAGGAGGGAGACACATTATTCTACCACTCGTGCTCTCTTGAAGCACGTTACTCTTTTTAATTAGGACAATCGAAGCTATTATCTTTGAATCGCTTTTTCTATAACCTACGATAGCATAAGTGTCGCTGCTTGTTTTTTTGCCACTAAATCGGTGCTCATGGTTGACATATTTTGGGCGCATCCAATGCCACTGAACTAAAAATCCAGAAAAGTTGTTTCGAAAAATATTTGATATGTATGATATGATTTGTTTGATATGATTTGAATATGTATGTAATTATCGTTAACTCTACTAACCTCATTTTTTTGCATTATTCCTCACTAGATAAAATTCAGTACGGTCGTTATCAAAAACGGCGACTATCCTTTGAAAAAATGAAGGAGATTCAGGTGGCATCGGGAAAAGGGCAGTACTATGGAAATCCCGCTTTCCTTGCCCGTCAACAGTTGGCCTTTCCGTCATCCGTCACCGCTCCACTCGCAGTGGATGAAAGGTACTCTCGTTCATCTCCACGAATGCTTCGAGAAACCTCAGTAGAATCGACCTACGAGTCTCAGCACACACAACAACAGTCGATGTCTGAGGAAGAAGAGGATGAGGAAGAAGAGGAAGATGATGAAGAAGGAGGCAGATTCGGCGGAAACTTGAAGCGTCGGTTTATTGAGGCTCTTAGACGGAGGGCCTCCAAGGAGCATGAAGGCGGTACGCACTTGGAGGGTTTGGTTCCCGGAAACCTGCAGACGCTGAGAGCTGTTGCAGCATTGGCGGCTGTGGCCGGAGGAATGGGCGGCAGCAGCACAGATCCCGACAAAACAGCAGCAAATGGTAAGTTTTGACACCTCAGTTAAACTGCCAAGTATGTTCGAGTGCACCAGTGATCATAAGCCCATTTGATTTCCCGAAGGGGGGGTGCCCTTCAGTGTGCATTTTTTTGAAATTTTTCATAGAGCGCACCCTTTTAACTGAAAAGTATGTAGTGCACCTTCCTGTTTAGCAATTAGTGTCAAAAAATAACCCCTAGACAAACACATCCGGCTTGTTCACTTGCAAATACTCAAAAAATGCTCAAAAATTTCATTTTTCAGTTGAAAAATGACATCGACTTAGCACAACAAATCATATGTTGATGGGATCGTCCCACACGATTTTCATTTATCAATGAAATTTGGAGAGGCACTCCAGAGGAGCACGTTGTTGCTCCCCACAATTGCGTGCGTAGGCAGAGTTGTGGACCGATTTCTGTATTTTCTTTAGAGGAGGCTCGAATAAAACTGATTCAGTTTGATAGACCAGCTCGAGAACTCCTTATTTGGTCTGTCCTCGTTGGCAAACTGAGGATGTCAGAGTTATTTTGGACGATGGAAAAGGTATGTTGATGTGTCCCTTTGATTGACGTAAGCATTACCAAACAAATGGTGCTCTAAGTCATAAGTAAGTTGAATTTTGTAGTTGACACACCAATCATTTGTACGCATTTTTCCTCCTCTTAGGGCGTCATTAGTTAGGACAAGTTGTTCATTCTCCTCAGGCCTACAAATACGATACTTCTCAGCAAATAAACTTTGATGGCGTTTTGTTTCACAGTTGTGATGGTTGCGAATTTTGACATTAATAGGAGCCAATTGCGGCGGCTCTACTGGCCTCAATTCTGCTCTCCGCTTTGAGTAACAGAACTGATGATTTCACAGATAAAGAGGACTACAAAAACTACTCCAAGTACGTCCTTATCAGCTCTAAATTCCTACTTGACCAACACAGAACGATAGAA